CTGGTTCAGTTTTGGAAAGTTATATTTCTCTAAGAACTTGTCCATTTCTTCCAAGTTGTCCATTTTATTGGCATAGAGCTGCTGGTAGTAGTCTCTTATGATCCTTTGTATTTCAGTGTTGTCTGTTGTGATCTCTCCATTTTCGTTTCTAATTTTGTTAATTTGGTTCTTCTCCCTTTGTTTCTTAATGAGTCTTGCTAATGGTTTGTCAATTTTGTTTATTTTTTCAAAAAACCAGCTTTTAGCTTTGTTAATTTTTACTATGATCTCTTTAGTTTCTTTTGCATTTATTTCTGCCCTGATTTTTAAGATTTCTTTCCTTCTACTAACCCTGGGGTTCTTCATTTCTTCCTCCTCTAGTTGCTTTAGGTGTAGAGTTAGGTTATTTATTTGACTTTTTTCTTGTTTCTTGAGGTAGGCCTGTAATGCTATGAATCTTCCCCTTAGCACTGCCTTTACAGTGTCCCATAGGTTTTGGGTTGTTGTGTTTTCATTTTCATTCATTTCTATGCATATTTTGATTTCTTTTTTGATTTCTTCTATGATTTGTTGGTTATTCAGAAGCGTGTTGTTTAGCTTCCATATGTTTGAATTTTTAATAATTTTTTTCCTGTAATTAAGATCTAATATTACTGCACTGTGGTCAGAAAAGATGACTGGAATGATTTCAATCTTTTGGAATTTACCAAGACTAGATTTATGGCCCAGGATGTGATCTATTCTGGAGAAGGTTCCGTGTGCACTTGAGAAAAAGGTGAAGTTGATTGTTTTGGGGTGAAACGTCCTATAGATGTCAATTAGGTCTAGCTGCTCCATTGTGTCCTTTAAAGTTTGTGCTTCTTTGTTCATTTTCTGTTTAGTTGATCTGTCCATAGTTGTGAGTGGGGTATTAAAGTCTCCTACTATTATTGTGTTACTATTAATTTCCTCTTTCATACTCGTTAGTGTTTGCCTTACATATTGCGGTGCTCCTATGTTGGGTGCATATATATTTATAATTGTTATATCTTCTTCTTGGATTGATCCTTTGATCATTATGTAGTGTCCATCTTTGTCTCTTTTCACAGCCTTTATTTGAAAGTCTATTTTATCTGATATGAGTATTGCGACTCCTGCTTTCTTTTGGTCTCCGTTTGCATGGAATATTTTTTTCCAGCCCTTCACTTTTAGTCTGTATGTGTCCCTTGCTTTGAGGTGGGTCTCTTGTAGACAGCATATATAGGGGTCTTGCTTTTTTATCCATTCAGCCAGCCTTTGTCTTTTGGTTGGGGCATTCAACCCATTTACATTTAAGGTAATTATTGATAGGTATGGTCCCGTTGCCATTTATTTTGTTGTTTGGGGTTCACGTTTATACCACCTTTCTGTGTTTCCTGTCTAGAGAAGATCCTTTAATATTTGTTGAAGAGCTGGTTTGGTGGTGCTGAATTCTCTCAGCTTTTGCTTGTCTGTAAAGCTTTTGAGTTCTCCTTCATATCTGAATGAGATCCTTGCTGGGTAGAGTAATCTAGGTTGTAGGTTATTCTCTTTCATTACTTTAAGTATGTCCTGCCATTCCCTTCTGGCCTGAAGGGTTTCTATTGATAGATCGGCTGTTATCCTTATGGGAATCCCTTTGTGTGTTATTTGTTGTTTCTCCCTTGCTGCTTTTAATATTTGTTCTTTGTGTTTGATCTTTGTTAATTTGATTAATATGTGTCTTGGGGTGTTTCGCCTTGGGTTTATCCTGTTTGGGACTCTCTGGGTTTCTTGGACTTGGGTGGCTATTTCCTTCCCCATTTTAGGGAAGTTTTCAGCTATTATCTCCTCGAGTATCTTCTCATGGTCTTTCTTTTTGTCTTCTTCTTCTGGGACTCCTATGATTCGAATGTTGGGGCGTTTCACATTGTCCCAGAGGTCCCTGAGGTTGTCCTCATTTCTTTTGATTCTTTTTTCTTTTTTCCTCTCTGCTTCATTTATTTCCACCATTTTATCTTCTAACTCACTTATCCTATCTTCTGTCTCTGTTATTCTACTCATGGTTCCCTCCAGAGTGTTTTTGATCTCATTTATTTCATTATTAATTTTTAATTGACTTTTTTTTATTTCTTCTAGGTCCTTGTTAAACATTTCTTGCATCTTCTCAATCTTTGTCTCCAGGCTATTTATTTGTAACTCCATTTTGTTTTCAAGATTTTGGATCATTTTTATTATCATTATTCTAAATTCTTTTTCAGGTAGATTCCCTATTTCCTCCTCTTTTGTTTGACTTGGTGGGCTTTTTTCATGTTCCTTTAGCTGTTGGGTATTTCACCAAGATTCTTAAACTTGAGGAGGGGGCAGAAGAAAAGGTTGCAGTGATGGGAAAAAAAAAATCAGGCCTCCCTTGATGTCTTTGAGTATTGAGGAAGGAGACTAAAAGCCAAGGAATATGGGAAGCCTCTAGAATTGGAAAAGGCAGGGAACTGAATTCTCCTCTGGGACCTTCAGAAAGGAACACCGCCTTAGCAACACCTTCAGTTTAGCCCATTGAGTGTCAGATAACTCACCTACAGAACTGCAAGGTAACAACTTTCCACTCTTTTAAGCCACTAAATTTGTGGTAATTTTGTTACAGCAGCAATAGGAAAGAAACAGTCATTCCCAAAACTTTAAATGAAAGTGTTAATTTAACATTTTGGCCTGTATAAATTAGAATTAAGTGTTTTCACATAGAATAGTTTGTATTTCCAAACAAAACTCAAATACTCCCAGAGTTTACTGGGAAGTAATTATTAGGTTAAGCCACAGGTTAGATGCAGAAATTCTAGTGATGCAACTCCTCAAAAAAGAGAGAGGGCAGCAAACATCTTCTACAATATTAGCACATTGTCTGATAGTGTTTACATTCATGAAGAAATTGAAAACTGACTCCTGAATCTATACTTTTTGAGATACTCTTGCCAGGCTGCTAAAGATGCTAAATTACTGAGACTGGCAGTCATGGCTGTCATATTTGGTCTCTGGAGTTCTTTATTCAATATTGCCTATGAGGTTTTTGTAGACCAATGAGGGCTAAGTCATTAATGAAATTTCAAAATGAACTCATTCTAAACATTAGGGAAGTAAGATTTTATTACAGTACAACTTTTTTTTTTTTTTTACAGTACAACTTTCTTGGGCTAGATTTATGTTGAAAATCCCACACTTGAGTTCATATAAGAAAATGTACAGAGAGAAGAGAAATGGTCTGTGACTGTTTTTCATATTTGAGACCTTGCACAGCCCTGAGAATGCAATTGTGGCCTCTCATGAGTCCATGGGATGGACTAGTTATGAGGGCATAGCTATTTTTATGTAAAATCGATGTGCTTCACACAGGTGTAAAACACAGAGTAAAAATAGCTATAGACTCTAAATAGCTCATGCAATGGTGAAGCAAAAACATTTTTTACATAGTTAATTCCAGGAAATGACTACCATATACGAGAACCACAACTCTAAATATGCAGGGCTCGTGTACACACACACACTGCTATTAAAGTTTGAGATTTACATGTTACCTGTGTAACATCTCTGTAAATTTATATATTTCTCATATTTTGTAAGTTTGGTCTCAGATATCAAATTTTTCTTAGCTTCCTAAAGAAAAAAAATGGTGTTTAAAAAGCACAATGGAAGAAGGGTTCCCATAGTCTATATAGTTTTGACCTTTAAATAATATCTGGTGCCAACTACTGTCTGCGTCCATGAGTGTGTAATATACCCGATGAACTCATCAAATAAACTTCTTTTGCTGATGACATTTCTATTTTTAAAAAGAGATATACTTAATGCTACCAGACAATCACGGGAAAAAAAGGAGTAGTGTCATTGAAGTTTTATTTGGCTGGAAACTCTTTGTTGGATAAAAGGAAAGTTTAAAGAAAATATTTTTTCTCTGAATTTCAGTCTGGAATGCCACCCAGGCGTCTCCACCCAGCTTTGAACTAGAGTCTAAAAAAGATGTTTGATCTTCTTTGTCTTTCAACTTGACAAAATGTCCTTCTTTGAAATCCCCGTTTTGTTTTATGTGTGCTTGTTAATGTGTTTTAGAAATGTAAAGTTCTTGGGGTAATGTGTGAGTATTTTTTGCTTAACCTTTGAACACTCTCCTAAGTGTCCACTCCACCAAGTTTGCATTCCCCAAATATTTCTCATTAAAATCTTATTCATCCTGTAGTTTGGAAATAATGAGTTGTTTTTAGCTTCTTCACTTGGAGCCTTTAAAAAATAAAAATTCTCTAAAGTAACACTTCCTTCCATTCAACAAATATTTCTTAAGACCCTTCTGCATGGCAGTAGTTAATGTTCAGGAAAGATTAGCTGACATAATGATCTGTGGTTGATATATTAAAAAAAAAATCTTAAAAGTGATTCATGGATTTTTTTAAAAATATGCTTTTATTGGGGCAAGAAAACATAACTTGTTGCAATGACATATACTTGGTCAAATAATCAAAGAATACAAGATTCTAGCCCTAAAATAGCTACCTTTCATTGGATGAAATACATATGCAGAGAAAAGGGCAAAATTATACTTTATTATCAGGTGGGGATTTTGCTTTAATCCCAAGGAGAACCCCATGAAAAACTCTTCCCTAAATGTTACTAGCCTGAAATGTCCACTCTGTGTGTCTCTTTCATGAAAGTAGGGTTTGTAAATGGGGATAAAAAGCAGCCAAAATAGAGACCAAAGTAGCATAATAGAGAACAATACAAGAAAGAACAATGATTTGTCAAAATATGCTGTATGAATCTACATAGAATAACAAGGGTAACCCAATCCTTGTTCTAAGTGATCTTCTCTGATTCTGTGGTTAGCTTTCAGTAGGAGGCCTCTGTTGTTGCCTTAATTTTTGTTGAAATAAAATGGAAGTAAGAATATTCTGATTTTAGATCGAACATCCTTCAGCTTCTGCTTTGGCAGAAAGCCTATTGCCATTAGGAAGAATTCATTAGCTGCTAAGAGAACCACTAGTAAGAATATGTAGTTCAAATAAATGCACTTGCATAACACTTTACACTATATCTCAAATAATAAGGCATTCAGTGATAAAATTAGATATTTATTCCCCCTGGCATCTTTCATTTACTCATTTTTCATTTTAAAAAGGCACTTCTTTTGGGTTGCCTTCAGAGGATTCCTGACTCAGAGGATGTCTTCTAATACCAGAATACCAGACTGCCATGACCTTTATTTTTATTTCAACCACGAGCTGAATTTAGAAGTAGAGATGATAATATCAACTGAGTATGCTGCTATATTACAAACTGTGTCATGGAGACACTGCTTTGAAGGATACCTAGAGAGAGTGTTATTCTTGGAATTTCCCTGGTGGTTCAGTGGTTAAGCCTCTGTGCTCACAATGCAGAGGGGCTGGGTTCAACCCCTGGTCACAGAACCAGATCCTGCCTGCCGCAACTGAAGATTTCCCACGTGGCAATAAAGATCCTGCATGCCACAACTAACACACAGTGAAGCCAAGAAAATAACCAAATAAAAAGAGTGTTATTCTTAACAGACTTGGGAAAATAAGGAAAATCAAGGTGACTGTGGCAGAGAGTGAGAAGGACCTGCCACCCACAAGAAGAGGAAAAAATGTCCCTCCACAGGGCTCCCGGGCCCAGGCGGAGGGCTGCTGGGTGAACCTCAAAGTGCGTGGTGGGGCTGCAGCCCACATGCAGCTTTGGTAGAAGAGGGAAGATACCCTAAAGAGCATTTTGGTCTATAGTGTCACTCCCCATCCACGCTTCTTAAGGCCAATCTGGCTTCTATCCCAGCCCACTGATCACTTTTCAGAGACTGTTTTCATGGAGCGTGCTGTGATCGCCATGCCCTACATCCAGGGATCGCCTCCCTGTTGTCTCACTTAGCCTAGCCTCTGGCTTTTACGCAGATGGCTGCTATCTTCCCTCTCAAACACTTTTCCTGTGTTTTCCACTATATCACACCTTTTGTCTCACTGGCCATTCCCGCCCTTCCTTGCTGGCCACAGCTTTCTCCACTTTAAATGCTCCATCTATTTAAAGCTGTTGTAACTAAATGTATAACCATATACATTCTTCCTACATAACCTCATCCCCTGCCAAGGCTTTAATTTTATCTTCTGAATATATGGTGACTGCAAAACATGAAGTGTTTTTCCGTTTTCCAGCGAGAAGATCAAAACAAAAGTGTTTAAAATTTTAACACCTGAAATATACACACTTACAGAGATATAAACTAGCTAAATATATGCTTAGTTGTTACTTTGATTGCACATATTAACAATTACCTGTTATATAAAGAAGCATTCTAAAGTAATGTAGAGGTTTTACTTTTTCCATTCTTACAGTCCATGAAATAAATAAATGCAGAATCTTCATTTGTGGCCTTGGATATCAGTCTCTGTCATCACTGGAACCATTTTCAAGTCATTAAAGACAGTTTTCCTGAATACATCCATCTTCACTTCCACTTAGGGTTTTAAGGTTTTGGAATTTTGTAATATATAATTTAAAAAATATTTTAATATAATTTTTAAAGGTGACAATCCATTTACAGTTATTACAAAATATTGGGTATATTCCCTGTGTTATATAATACACCCTGGAACCTATCTTATACCCAGTAGTGTGAACTTGCCCTCCCTCACCCATCTATCCCTCCTCTCCCCACCCCCCACTGGTAAACACCGGGTTGTTCTCTACATCTGCTTCTGTTTTGTTTTATTCACTAGATTGTTGTATTTAAGCCCTTTGGGAACTTTGTAGGATAATATCATTGGACATTTTATTTCATTAGGTATAGCTGTACAACGTTACTTGTACAACATTAGAAGAGCTATTTTTTCATTTGTCTTGTAGAAGCATATTTGTGATATCCACAATATAGTCACTTTCTTTAGGTCATTTCAATAGGTGTGCTGACAAGGATACCTAACACTTAAAATTGTGGGATCAGACCTTCCATTACAGTTAAATTTATGTTTTATTTTTTTGCCTCCATTTTATGAAAGGTGGCTCCCATTAGCATCTAAAACAAGAATTAATTGCAAACTATTATACATAGAATGAATTAACAACAAGTTCCTACTGTCTAGCATAGGGAATTATATTCATATCCTGTAATAAACCATAATGGAAAGAATATGGAAAAGAAATACATACATATGTATAACTGAATCACTTTGCTGTACAGAAGAATTTAATACAACATTGTAAATCAACTATACTTCAATAAAATCAATTTTAAGGAAATTAGAATTAGTTGAAGTCCTTTGTGCCTGAGTTTTTCCTAAATATTACTACTATTCTCATATAGAGTTATCTACTAATCTGTTTTTGTGCCCTTGAGATTTGTTTATTGCCTTTTGCACAGAAATAGAGCTGATTTCTGGTTTAAAAATGTAATATTAAATATATTGAGTTGCCATATTATAATGCCATTTGTTCCTTAAAGTATAGGTTATAAATCTCTATTTATTCTATTTATAAATGTAACAAATGTTAACAGTCTTTTTAAGGGGCTTTTGAAAAATGTTTGTGTCTGTTTATAATCTTAGTTAATAAAACATCTTCAAATATTATAAGCTGCATTTATAAATTTAATCTATTTGATTTCATTTTGAACTACATCAATTACCTGGTTTTAGAGGATAAACATTCCCAAGTACTAAACACATAGTACAAATATAACAAAATAAATGTATATGCATGGTAAAACTCAAGTATTTTATGGTAATAAATATTTCAATACTATAATGTAGTAAGATGTAAACCCCTATTCCAAAGCATAAATTACTCAGTTACAAATTTTAAGTTGCCACTCAAATACATCAAATTCTCCTAATCACTATAACCACATGTATTACCAAATAAGCACAGATTCACTCTTGATACAAAAATAGATATATTCTGGTCTTGAGTCTCTTAATCTTCTTAAAATTTTAGATGTTACCAGGTTGAAAAATCAGTGTTTATTTAGAAAGACAGCTACTGAGGTTACTGGGCTTTCCTGGTGGCTCAGCTGGTAAGAATCCACCTGCAATGCGGGAGACCTGGGTTTGATACCCGGGTTGAGAAGATCTGCTGGAGAAGGGATAGACTACCCACTCCAGTATTCTGGCCTGGAGAATTCCAGAGACTGTATAGTCCATGGGGTTGCGAAGAGTCGGACACAACTGAGCGACTTTCGCTTTCACACACAGATTCATTCTTGACACAAAAATAGATATATATTCTGTCTTGAGTCTCTTAATCTTCTTAAAATTAATTTTAAGTGTTACTTGGATTCAAAAACCAATGTTTATTTAGAAAGACAGCTACTGAGATTATTTATTACACATTCTTACCTGTATTTGTGAACTGGCCAGAACTAGTTTGTTATTTTTGGTAAATGTTAATTGCCACATGTAGCTAATAAATAGATGAAAGCTCCTCCCCACAACTAGGAAATAATGCAGACAGGAGTCAGACTAGGTTCTGCCTGCCACACCAATGCCTTCTAGTGAACAATTACTACATCACATCATAGTAATTTAATGTGTTCTGTAAGTCTACTGAAGTCATAGTTTTCTGTTCTTTTTGGTGATCAGTAACCTCTTACATGGCATCCGGTCCCATCACTTCATGGGAAATAGATGGGGAAACAGTGGAAACAGTGGCTGACTTTATTTTTCTGGGCTCCAAAATCATTGCAGAGGGTGACTGCAGCCATGAAATTAAAAGACACTTACTCCTTGGAAGTAAAGTTATGACCAACCTAGACAGCATATTGAAAAGCAGAGACATTACTTTGTCAACAAAGGTCCATCTAGTCAAGGCTATGGTTTTTCCAGTAGTCATGTATGGATGTGAGAGTTGGACTGTGAAGAAAGCTGAGCACCGAAGAATTGATGCTTTTCAAGTGTGGTGTTGAAGAAGACTCTTGAGAGTCCCTTGGACTGCAAGGAGATCCAACCAGTGCATCCCAAAGGAAATCAGTCCTGAATATTCATTGGGAGGACTGATGTTGAAGCTGAAACTCCAATACTTTGGCCACCTGATATGAAGAGCTGACTCATTGGAAAAGACCCCGATGCTGGGAAAGATTGAGGGCAGGAGGAGAAGGGGGCGACAGAGGATGAGATGGTTGGATGGCATCACCGACTCAATGGACATGGGTTTGGGTAGACTTCGGGAGTTGGTGATGGACAGGGAGGCCTGGCATGCTGCGGTTCACGGGGTTGCAGAGTCGGACATGACTGAGCGACTGAACTGAACCTCTTGCAGGGGGCTTCCCAGGTGGCCCTAATGGTAAAGACCCCGCTTGCTGATGCAGGAGACATAAGAGACATGGGTTCAATCCCTGGGCTGGGAAGATCCCCTGGAGGAGGGCACGGCAACCCACTCCAGTATTCTTGGCTGAATCCCATAGGCAAAGGAGTCTGGTGGGATACAGCCCATAGGGTCACAAAGAATTGGAAATTAGGCAATTTAGCAAGTACACACACAGCCTCTTATGTGAAAGACTTTAGGCAAATTCAGCAATATTCTTGTGTCAGGAATTGGCTGGTCATCTATTGGAGACAGGCAACCAGGAATCCTCAGAACCAGCAGCTGGACACAAGATCATATAGGGATCCAGCCTTGGGTGCTGTACCTAAATGTGTAGGTTACACGGCTCTAGATTTTCATTCATCCAAATGTGGGGGAATGTTTCTAGAAGAGTCTAAACAATATCCTAAACAACTCTAAATTTATTCTGAACATCACTAATTTTTGTGAAGGAAAAGCCTGTTTTTCATATATGTTATGCAAATTATCAAAGCCCTAACTTTGCTAAGAACTGAACATAATTAACATGCATTTAATAGCCACACAAAGAATGTGAACTTTCAGTTCAGTGCTTGCTAACTACACCTGAAATGTGAATTTTTGATTTAGGCAACTGGCCTTCCTCACGTAGACTGAAACAAAACAAAATGAATTTATATCACTGGTTATACTCAACAATTTAAATTATAGATATAAATACAGTGGTAAAAGAGGCATACTCATTAAGGAAGACAATTACTATCCTAATTAATTGAGTTTACATACAACCAGAGATTCCAGCCATAAGCAGACTGGAGTCCTGTCAGTCACTAGGATGGAATACATAGAACTTTATTTCTAGTTACTATGTCCATGACTTTCTAAATCAAAGTAGATGTGTAGCCTTGTTATTTGGATTCATATTATATATACTGCTTAACTTTTTATCATACCCATAGAAATTAGGATGTCCTACTCACCTTGATCACTTGACTGGATTTTTCATCTCTTTGGCTTTTTGGAAACATAATGAATACAAATACTTTTTATCTGTAAAGATTTTTAAATCTGATGG